AAAGCTTTTGAAACTAAAGATTAAGCTAGAAGGGCATGTGGGCAAAAAATCCTGAGTTTATTCCCTGTAAGGGAAATAAAAGTAAAAATACAAACAAAAGTAGAAATAAAAGAAATAATTCAATCTGGGTGCTTGTTGTACAGGGGTATTCCATATGTGGAAATGATCTAGAAAGATAGTCACATACAGACTATTTATATTATATTTCAATAAAAATTAAAAATAATGAAATGAAGAGGTAAAAGTGATTCAAGAGAAAGTTGGCTTCAATCTTTTAGGCCAGAGGACCATGGTTTGCATTCATTTTACTGAAACTCCTCTCATAAATGTCTCCAAAGACTTTGTAGGTCCAGTGCCACTGTGCCTCTTTGAGATGTCTATCATAAGTAACCACCCTCTCATTTCTGTGCTAGTCACTCCTTACTCATCTCCTTTGCAAGGTTTTCTTCCTCTGCCAGCCTTTCAAACATTAGTTATTGGTGTTTCTGCACTCCATACTCAGCTGCTTTCCTTTTTCACTCAAATTCTCTTCCTAAGCAATGATATCATACCTAATGATCTCAGCTCTCTCTCTCTCTCACACACACACACACATACACAGACACTATTCTGAAATCTACATTTTTAGTTCAGGTCTCTCTGCTGAAAAACAGCCCTTTATATCCAACTTTTAATGACACCTCTCCATTGAATACCCAGTCCCCTCATTGACAAAACTGCTCCCTACCCGCCCCTCCTTAATGCCGAGAAGGTAAATGGCCATATCCTCTTGTTTGACAAATAACTTAAGTTTCTGTATCTACTAGGTGAAGAAAATCTCCTTTTAACACCCCTATACATTTTTATATCCTCCCCAATATTTTTTTCTTTAATAATTCTGTTTCTGGATTACATAGGTCATTTACTACCATTATTCTGTCATTTTCCAGTCATTTCTTAATCTCCTACATTGTAATTACTCTTTCCCTTACCAAAACTGCCCTCTATGTAGCACTAATGATGTTGTATGATTCTTAATTTGCAATAATCTGTTTTGCCTTATACCACTCTGTCTGCTCAGTCTGTTTACACTTATATTCCCTAGACATTCTACTATCATCTAACTAATGGTGTTTTCCAATTTACTTTGGTAAAGTGAAAGGGGAAAAGATAGAAAGAAAAAGCAAGGGACAGAAAAAAATAAGATGGACAGAGGAGACCATTCAGGCTCCTTCAGGGACCATTAACTTCCTGGGGCTCAATAATTCAATCCATTGTGATATTCAGTCTATTCTTAAAACACACTCTCCTAGCTTCAGGAACAGTTAGAATGGCTATATATGGAAATTAAAGAATTACACCTGATATAAGGGAAGGGGACCGAATGGTAATGGAAAAATACAATTAAAAAAATGAAGTGGGGAAAATTACAACTGAGAAATACTGAACACTTTTTATGTCCTCATAAAAACCAACTCTGCCTCCTTAGCTCCCCTGTGTTATTAAAGACTTTTGTTTTTCTTCACAATCAAGAAAGAAAATGGAGTTTCAAAATTCCCTCTCATCAGCAACTTGCAAGAAAATATTCAGATTCATAAACTCTCCTGCGGAGCAGCCCCCCACAGCAGTTCCACACTTCCTGTCCTTTGCTATTGTGGCCGCACTATTAAGTATTCTCGTTATCCTTTCATTTCTCTCTGTCTTTCATGCTGCTCTGCTTGAATTGATCCAAAACATTACTAATATCACGTTAACCACTCTGTTCAAACTCCTTCATAGTTTTCATGTTATCGGTAAAATAACCACCGAATGCTGCTAACGATAAAATCCTCCACCAGTCTGTCCTGGCTTTACGTCTGCTGTTCCTGAACCAACGAGACCAGTGTCTGCAAACCTGTCCCATGTGTGCCTGCCTCTAATTTTTTAATCAAAGTATTTGGCTTGCCTATAATAATTTGTAATTTCTCATTCTCTCAGATAAAATTTTATCGAGTCTCCAAATGGGGTCCGGGGAATAAATCTCACTGCTTTCATTACCATGTCCACAAATTCCTCTTACGTCATATTCAGACTTATTTTTCAAAATATGTTTTCAATCATATTTAATACTCAGACAATTACATGAGAAAAATATCCAATTTCACCTGTATGAGGGTGAATTACATGGAGTTCCACTTCCTTTAATAACAATGCAGCTTGTATTGAAGTAACTGTCCCACAGATGATGATGATGAATGATGTAAAAATATATAAAAACAATTATTTGAAGGCACTAGAGATTTCTTAAGAGCAGACAAATCATGAACAGTTTTTAATGTAAGGAAACCACCGGATCATGTTATGGGAAAGGCTACAATGAAGCAGAAAGCTAGAGACTTTTTAGCTTGGAAAGTCATAAAACAGAGACGCAAAGTGCTGGATCAAGTAGAAAGCAAGGAGACATATCCAACACTGAGGGAGGCACCCTGAAATCTGTGTGTAGATTCTCTCCTAAATCCTTGACTGACACATGTACAAGCAGACCATGAAAAGCAGTGCCTTGAGAGAGATTTGTGGCTGCTGACCATCACAATAGAGCTCTGAGTTCGACTCCAGCCGAGACTAAAACTGAGAGATTCTCTCCAGCTGAGAGAATAAAAATCAACCTCTGCAAAGGTAATAGAATCAAGATTCTGAATGACAGCATATGATCTGTGATGTACAGTATGCAATCAAAATTACTGGCCATGTAAAGAATAAAGAAAATAGGATTCATAGAGAAAAAAAGCAGTCAAAGAAAATTACTTTAGGCTGACCCACATGTTAAAATTAAAACCCAGGATTAAAAAAAAACAGTTGTTAAAAACATCTTCAAGGGCTTAAAGGAAAATACATTCATTATGAATTAAAACTGGGGGAAATGTTCAGTATGGAAAAAGAAAATATACAAAGTAAATGTTGTAGAACTGAAACGTACAATATTTGCATGAACCATTAATGGGGTAGGCTTAACAGCATACCAGAGATGTAAGAAGAAAGTATTAATAAACTTGAAAATAAATCAATAGAATTTATCCAACTTGAAAAGTAGAAGAAAAAGGCTGAATAAAAATTGACAGAATCTTGGTGATCTGTGTGACAATGCCCAAACGTTTATCAAATATATATAATTGGCTTTATTTCAAATAATATTTCTTCCTCATTCCCTCTTTCTTCTCCTTCAGGATAGAGATATATATATTTATATATATAATATATATTTATATATATATATATATGAATAAAACCTGAATTTACATCAGAGAGAGATTAGAAGACCATAAGCATTTTTGAGATGCTTAAAGAAAAAAAAACCGTCAAGCCAGAATTTTATCTACAGAGAAAATATCCTTCAAAAATAAAGATGAAAAAAGGGATTTTCAGATAAATTAAAACTGAGATTTGTCTCCAGTAGATCTGCACCACAGATGTATATACTATGACGTATACATGTATGTTTTTGTATACATGTGTGTATGTATATGCATGTATACATATGTATGCTTTGTATATTTGTACATATGTAAACATTCTGACTTTGCACCAGACCTAATTTTCTTCTACATTTTTCAAAAGTTCTCCTATTATATCAGCTGTATTTTTTCTTTAAAATAATTCAGTGAATACACTGTGATGTGTTTGCATGTGCTGGTAACTTTAGTCTACTACTAGAGGTGGTTAGTTAACATTTACAATATGCTAATCAGCCCTGGCTGGTGTGGCTCAGTGGACTGCGTGCTGGCTTGAGAACCCAAAGGTCCCTGGTTCCATTTCCAGTCAGGGCACATGCCTGGGTTGCGGGCCAGGTTCCAGGTCCCAGACTGGGGGCATGAGAGAGACACTGATCGATATATCTCTTGTATATCTATCTCCCTCTTTTTCTTACATCCTTCCCTTCTCTGTAGAAATAAATGAATAAAATTTTTTAAAAATATGTTAATCAAAACCCAGCCTATAAGGATACTTAACAGATGAAATACCTCTCTCCAGAGGCAGCTTACAGTAAATACTGCAGATATTGTTAACTATATGTGCACCCGAATGTTAACTAGTGTAAGGAATATCAGACATAGTTTTTCACTAGAGAAGTATGCGGTTCTTTATATGGGCTGGCTGAAAATATTTCATAGTCATAGATGCCCTCCTCTAATTGAGATATAAGAGTAAGAGAGTCTCGCTGCTGAACTATAGAATACGTAGAGTTCTGTTTTATCTGTCTCCCATCTTAAGGCAGGGTTCTGTCTAAAGGAAAGGTAGCAAACAGATTCTGAAGTCAGAATATTGTTTAATATGCTTCAGAATTAAACTGCCATAGGAGGTGGTTGAAAATGTGCCTAAAATAAGTGAGAGTTTATCAATTTTTTGAAATAGGTTGTATGACTGATCTGTAAACCTGCTTGTTAGTAAACATTATGTATGTAGCAGAATTCACTTGCAACTCACTCTCATTATACTGTATCACCTAGTGATGGAGTTGGGCGTAAAGAGCGGTGAGGTTCTCATCCATTCATACTTAGCTTGTCAGTTCGCAATCTCTCCTCATATCCAAATCCACCTCCTTACCTCGCTTGACTAAGGAGTAAATATGTGTCCTTTATAAAGTACTAAATGTAGAAATTTTATTCAAATAAATGTTTTTACATATACATGCATATGTAAATTCATGTATATATTCATTCCAGTTTGGTAGTTACATTAATATAAATTTATATAATAACACAGTACAGAACCCAGTTTCCTATTAAGAAATGTTTTTAAGTGGACAAATTAAGTAAATAAAATTGTTCACTGGACAAATACAAAAAGAACTGGTTCACAAATTTTACAGCTCACAAAGATTTTAAAGGCCCTGAGAGAACATTTCTCTGACATAAGCAAACTGAATCAGTATTTCACAAATGCTGTTTTTCTTTTCCTTCAAAGGAAATGCCATGCCCTAACTTTAAAAACAAAGCTCTTTTAGTCATTGTTTTTATTGACAGGAGGGAGTGAAATAGTCTTACCTCCAAGTGGTACCCGACTCTGATGAAGGCACAAAGTGGGTCAAAAGCTCCAGTGCCACAGGCGAGAAGGTGTGTCCTATTATAGTGATGCAAAACCCGGACAAAATTGGCACATTCACTCTGAAGCAGAAAAAAGAAGACATTGGTTTATAGAATGTTTAGCCCTTTTTTAAAAAAAAATTTGTGTTTCCTAACCCCAGAAATCTCATGTTTAAGTCTCCCATGGCCAGAGGAACAGGTCAAAAAAGTAGAAGGACCAGTAGAAGAGGGGACCTGGGTGATGAGTGCACATTTTTGTTAGGAACTATGTAGGAATTACATTTAATAATGCCAGTAACACATTTTCAAGAATTCCAGTATACAACTGAGAAATATAAAAGCACTGTTCAGAAATTTATTCAAGCATAAAGATTTACACGGCAATATGTTCTACTAAGTTATTAAGTTATTCCCAATGCTGTTATTTTTTAAGTATATATAAACAATGAATCAGCATGAAGTCAGAAAACCAATAATTAGAAAAAGCTTCTTTACTCAAAAGAAAACATATGCAGACTGTAGAGCATTACAGAGTTTTAATGTTTGGGAAAGTAAGTCAAATCTTCAAATATAAATTCACACAAAACACATTCACAGAGAATTTTCATGTAAATAGATAGAAAGGTAGCCAATAAAAGTAAGATGTTATAGCGATTACACTAAGATCACGGTCCATGGATCAGCAAACTTTTTCCACGAAGGACCATATAGTATATGTATTTAGCTTGATGGGTGGTATGATCTCTACTACTTATATTGTGGTTGTGACTACCTACCTCTTCAGCTATAGTGTGAAAGCAACAATAGACAATACACAAATGAATGTGCATGTCTGTGTTCTAATAAAACTATTTATGGCAGGCCACATTTAGCCCAGCAGCTCTAGTTTACACATATTTGTATTCCCCAGTATAACACAGTACCTAATATATACTACATGCTTAACAATGTTTTAATGTATCATCAGTCACTAGGCAAGTTTTATGATCAATATGCTAAATTTTAAAAAGTTTAAAATCCCTTCAAACCAACTTGGCTGAAATTAATTCTTGCAAACACCTTGTTGGCAAATTAAGTATTGCTACTTCATTTAAAACAAATTATGAGAGACATGCTCAACTCTTTTAGTGTTAAATACTATTTTGATATTAATACATACCATCATGCAATAATCAGTAAGTGTAATATTTCATAAGGACAGACTGTGACTTTAAAGTCTCTAATATAACGGTGTTAAGATAAAAAGCCAGCAGAACCAAGCCACCATAAATGATTCAGGTTATAACACTACCAACCTGATTATCCAGGGCACATATTTATTTCTTTGATTTCCCACTCACGTAGCATTTTATTCTATGACTGACCCATATAGTTGAAATAATCTATTTCTCCCAGGCATGGGGACAATGTTCTATTCTTGTATTGCTATAACTATAAACACCTGCTTTTCATCTCTTCAAACACTGACATCTTGAGTGAACCAGTTACATCACATTTTGGCTCAGCTAGGCTTATATGGACATAGTCTTAGAGTATGTTCAGTTAGTCAGCATCACTCTGAGGACCAAGCCAGAAAGAATGTCTTGACTCATTTCTTGGCTGTGACCCAGTTGCTACAGAAAATTGAGTTGGTATAATGTGTCTTAGTTTTTTACAAGGTATTTTGTTTTCTCCTTGAAAAACAGGGTAAGTTTACTTTCAGAAGGAGATTATGTATGCTTTTCTCCAAAGATGTGTAATGGCGTCATTGGCCAGCTATCCCTAGCAGGTGAAGGTCCCTCCTTTACTCCTGTTTGACGTTCTGGCATCTCTGAGAAGGATGGTGCTTCTGACAACCTTTTCCCTCACACACTGCACAGGAACCATGGAGAAATGGAACGCCACATCCGAAAGTAGGAAAGACCCTCCAATATTTGTGGAATACATGAGGCATGTTTACTGCTTTTGCCTTCTTTTGAATTGTTTTTCTACTTTCTCCTTTTGCTTCTGCATATTGCTAACTTACTAAAGTGAAATAAAATCTCAGTATGCTTAGCTTTTCCTTATATTTAAAAACTACCCACAATTGTTTTTTCCAAATACATAGAAATGAAACATTATTATAAAGAATATATATTTTATTCCTGACATAAATTGCATATATACTTTTTAACTTAGAAGTTAGGAATTCAGTCCTTTGTGATTGATGGGAGATTTATTTGATGATTTGCTTAATTTACAATGAATACTACTTACTGCGTCTTTTCCTTTCATTATGCATTCTTCTATTTTTAGTGATGTACTGGGCCAGTATATCTGAAATAAAAGATAATGGACTGTTATGCAACTGCATATAAAAATAGATCACACTGAAACACCATTTTATTTCTTTCTGCAATTTAATACATGTTCATTTGTTCTATTTTCTGAAAGGATAAAGCAAGACTATCTTCTTTACATCATTATTTGCATAATTAAGACAACTATCTTTGAGTTTTCACTTCATGCTAAACTTTATTTTTTAAAAAAATGTTTTTGAAGCTTGAACTCATGTCTTAGCCCTTCAGAAGCTACTCACACTTTAACCAACCCTGCTCTGTACTTAACCCACTTTACAAAACCTCTGCAGTCTAGGCTGTCTCCTGAACCTGTCTGTCCCTTTAAGTCAGGCACCAACTTGAATTCCCTTTGCATTTTTACCATTTAGCCCAGAACTTGATGTGTGCTGGACTCAGTAATATTTGCTGCATGAACAGATCTAGGAATTAATGCCCACTAAGTGCTTATTTATAATGTTTCAGCTAATAATATAGCACATAAAGGTTTTACTTTTTAAAAAATTGTTGTTCTATTACAATTGTCCCAATTTTCCCATGTTGTTCTCCCCTGCCCCATCCACCTCCTCACTCCCACAGTCAATCCCTACCCCGTTGTCCATGTCCACGGGTCATTTATACCTGTTCTTTAACTATGTCCTTCCCCTTCTTCCCTCATTTTTCCCTCTTCTGCCTTCCCCTCTAGTCCCTGTCAGTTTTTTTTCTTGTTTCCATGTCTCTGGTTTTATTTTGCTCCTTTGTTTTGTTCATTAGGTTACTGTAATAGGTGAGATCATATGGCATTTTTCTTTCACTGCCTGGCTTATTTCACTTAGCATAATACTCTTCAGTTCCATCTATGCTTTCACAAAAGGAAGGAGTTCCTTCTTTCTTTCTGCGGCATGGTATTCCACTGTGTAAAAGTACCACAGTTTTTTGATCCACTTATTTACTGATGGGCAGTTAGGCTGTTTCTAGCATTTTTCTATTATGAATAATGCTGCTATGAACATAGGGGTTCATAGGTTCTTTTGAATTGGTGCTTCAGGATTCTTAGTGTATATATAATCCCAGCAGTGGACTTGCTGGGTCAAAAGGCAGTTCTGCTTTTAGTTTTTTGAGGAAATTCCATACTGTTTTCCATAGTGGCTGCACCAGTCTGCAATCCCACCAACAGTGCACTAGGGTTCCCTTTTCTCTACATCCTTGCCAGCACTTGCTGCTTGTTCATTTGTTAATGATGGCCATTCTGACCAGTGTGAGGTGGTATCTCTTGGTGGCTTTAATTTGCATCTCTCTGATGGCTAGTGATGCTAAGCATTGTTTCATATGTCTTTGGCCCTCTGTATGTCCTCCTGGGGGAAGTGTCTGCTCAGGTCCTTTGCCCATTTTTTAATTGGATTGTTTCTTCCTGGCGTGGAGTCCTATGAGTTCTTTACACATGTTAGAGATCAAACCCTTGTCTGTAGTTTTATTGACAAATGTGTTTTCCCATATGGTTTGTTCCCTTTTCATTTTGCTAATGTTTTCTTTAGCTGTGTAGAAACTTTTAAATTTGATGTAGTCCCATTTGTGTATTCTACTCTTTACTTCCCTTGCCCTAGGGGATGTATCAGTGAAAATATTGCTGGGTGGGATATCTGAAATTTTACTGCCTAAGTTTTCTTCCCAGACCTTTATGGTATCATGGCTTATGTGTAAGTCTTTTATCTATTATCAGTTTATTCTGGTGTGTGGTGTAAGTTGTTGGTCTAATTTCTTTCTTTCTTTCTTTTTTTTTTTTTTTTTTTTTTGGCATGGACCATTCCAGATCTCCCAGCACCATTTATTGAAGAGACTGTCTTAACTCCATTTTATACCTCTGCCCCAGTTGTCAAATATTAATTGACCAGAGACGTAGGCTTATTTCTGGGCTCTCTATTCTGTTCCATTGATCCATGTGTCTATTCTTATGCCAGCACCAGACTGTTTTTATTACAGGGACCTTGTAGTATAGTTTGATATGAGGTATTGTGATCCCTCCTACTTTGTTCTTCTTTCTCAAGATTGCTGAGGCTATTCAGGGTCATGGAAGTTTTATTTTTTAAAACATTAGCTCTACCAATTTCTCACTGGATTTCAGATACTTTCCACTACATTTCAAGTTTATTGGTTTCTTCCTTGAAGAAGAACACGATAAGTATGTCTGTTTTATCTCCAATTATATCTAGCACTTTGCTGGGGTCACAAGCAGAAATCATTCAATACTTCTTATTTGATGCCACAAATTTCTGACTGTGAAGTGTAATCTTAATGAAATAAATTGTCTCTTTTTCTTCACTTATTAGACTGCTTCTGTCTCCCCTTTTTTTGCTTATGATAGAATTAATTATATTATATACCAAACAATGTGGTAAGAACTTTATTTTAGTTTTTCTTTCTTTCACATGATAAACTCATGTGCAAATGTAATGGGGTATAGAGTGGGGGTCTCCCAAAATAGCAGAGCAAAGGCCACCACACACCTGGATTGAGAGAAGGGGCTAGTGGACAGTACAGTGCTTAAGATAGTTTACATAATAGTGGGAAATTAATAGCTGTGCTGCCACCCCAGGCAAAAGGTGTACATGACTTTCTGAGAATATAGTGACTTGTGACATAGCCAGAGGAGATGGATGCCCTGTGTCAAGCGGAACTCTTGCCCTGACTACAGATGGAAGCTGAAGGAACGTAAAAGATACTAAGAAGATACAGGGGAACTGGCAAAAGTGGCACATCATAGGTGGGGCTGGATATGAGGTCACATAGGAAGTTCCAGTCTGAGCATTTAAAATAAGGGCCATCTGAAAGAGAAGGGTCTTTTTTCCTGCCATACAGCCTGTGATAGTTAAGGAGGAAGATGCCATTAAGGAGGTCTGGAGTGAGGTATCAGCCATACAGGCAGGAGGAAAGAGTGTAAGGAGAGAGCTGCTGGACCTACGTGGGAACCTGCCCAACCAAGCAAGGATTTGTGGGAGGTGCTTAGAGCAGAACTGGGACTCTTAAGCTACAGACTGTTGCTTCTCCGAAGAACGTACAGTAAGTCACTCTCTTAGGATGTATGCCTCCCTGGACTCCACCATGATCCAGTGTAACATGGCACGTGTTTCCCTGAACCACTGCATGGAGGCTGAAGACAACATACAACAGATCCAGAAGGGGAGAGCTGTGCGAGAGGATGGCGACTCTGAAACCCCCAAGAGCACGTTCCAGAGGGGGTGAAGATCTGCTAGGGCAGCTGGCTTAAGAACAGATAAGGAAAACTCTGGGCATGGTTTTTGCTTTTAGGCTGGTGGGGGGGCAAAAGAAGGGCTGGGTCTTGTGGGAGAACAGGGCTCTGAGCAGGAGTGCTCTCAGCCTCCCTGAGGTTGGAACCCTGTTAATAAAAACCTGTTTCCTTCAATGCAAATTGTTGGGGTCGTGTGTCATGATGCCACGTGGACGAACTCCAGTTTGCTCAGTTACACAAAGGTTTGAGTTTACTCAATTCATGGCTCATTATTATCATTGACTTTAAAAGATTCCTCTCTTATTTTATTTCCTTCCTTCCTGCTCCATGTTTTACTTACATCCCTGCAGGGAGCAATTATTGTAAATCGTTACTGGGCACTATTTTTTGTTTTCATATTCTTATAAAATATATATTATTGCTTTTTGTGCATATTTTAAAATTTATATAAATGGTATTTTCAAATTTATGTAAAGTCTTTCACATGTTTTTTCATTAAAACTGGGTTTTTTAAATCACTCTACATAGTTCTTTGTATACATATAGTCTCCTGTTTCTAATTGCTTCATAATACTCAAGGTATGGATCCCCCTACACATTTATTTATCAACTTTCCCAGGGATGGACACCCAGAGGGCCACCAAGTCTCTACCATATAAAACACACGGTGCATCTCTGCCCATGTCCCTTTGACATCTGTATAAGAATGTTATTGGTGTGTATAACCAGAAGCAGAATCACTGGGTCTTCGAGCAAGCATATATTCCATTTGGATGTAGTGCCAGATTGCTCCCCAGAATGGTAACATTTTTATATTCCACCAGCAATCTTCACTGACACTTGGAATTACCGGCTTTCTAAAGTTTGTGCTAACCACTTTAGATTCAACATTCAACTTAATCCTTACCACAACTTTATCAAGGAAGTTGGACTATTTTGGAGTTTCTTTACAAAATTGGATATTTCTCTGTCCAACTCCATAATGTAAGTAGATATATGGGTGGAAACCAAGGGATGTGATCCTTTTAAGTAACTGTAGCAATTGCTAAATTCCCAATGTTTCCAGTACCCCAAGACCTTAAGCCTCCTAGTTAATAATACTTGATAGGGGTACCTGCTGGATCAATCACCCTACCTTACTACACTAAAATACTTCAGTCAGCCCCCTTTCTGTGAGGCTCAGAGTTCTATGGGGTAGAACTCAGTGCTAACGTGTCACCTTCATAGGCTCTGCTAGTAAAGTGATGATCCTATTTCGAGAATGTCAGCTCTCAGCAGAACACCTTACAGTTTTTCTTCATCACCTCCAAAAGCCTGTACCTTAGATCCATATACACCGGCCTAAGGAACTCCTAAAATGTTCTCTCTTCCTTTTCTTCCCATATGGCTGCTTTGAACCAGGCTACATCAGTATTTGTTTGGTTCCTGGTTTTTGTTTTGTTTTGTTTTTGCATGCAATCACCTTCCACTCTCAAGTCAACATTTTGGTGAAAGAATTGAAATTTCCCAGTAGAGTAGCCTGGCCTCTCAAGATACTATTTCTAAAATTGTCCTTTTCTCTTCAGGATGCTTAAAAGTCCTTAGGGCCTATATTGAAAAGAGCTCATGTATAGCTTCCTAGCACCCAGTGTCAAAGTTTACTGCTGGTCGTCTCTATTCGGTATTGGAGACTCTTTTTCCATGGCAATTTGTTTGTTCTCAAAAGACTCCTGTTATGTTTCTGATATCTCCTCCCCCCCCCTCCACCATTCCATTGTGGGCTCTGCTCACCTGAAAGGACATTACGGCTATGTAAGTACATATTAGATGTTGCTCATTGAAGGTATTTTTTATTTTGTGAGCACACTATTTAATTACTTTTAATTAGTGCCCAACATTTAAAAATAAGAACTTTTACATCCAGACTTACATTTCTTGTTTCTCTAGAAAAACATGAAGACAGGCACCAGGCTTGCATTCCTGCTTGGCAACATTGCTCGGCAGCTGAAACTCTTAAGTCGTCTTTCAGTGGAGCGGACACTGATTTGTGTCAGACTGTCTGCCCTGTAGGCATTTTAGTTTTTGAAATATGATATATGTGTTTGAATTCCATATATGCTCAAATTTAAACTTTTTAAAAAAACTGTGCCCCATAAAATATCAGGTTTGGCACTTACAGGCTGCCTAACCTGAAGAAGTGGAAAAGGCTCATCATTTATCTTGCTCACTGTGTAGCCAAATCCAGTCCCTGGTAGGTGAAAAATATTGGGAATTTATAAAAGTGGGGACAGTAGCACTTTATTATGGTAATCCTTATATGATTACATTTGTTATCATAGGAGTAAGCACTCTATGCTTTGAATTATAAGCACATGGTGTTACTTTTTTGTTCTCATTAGTATAGTAGCCCACACCCTACCAAAATTCTTACTAATAATATTCAGCATAAGGTGTTCTTTTGCTTTTCTAATGCAGTGTATAGACTTTTAAATGAAAACATGTGAGTTTTTATATTTATGTTGTGGCAGAAAAAAAGACAAAGAAAAGAAAGTAGGGATATAAAAGAAAATCAACTAAAGAGCCAAATCCCATGCACAAAATCCTAGAATCAATTTTCTTAATTGTAGCAGTGAATCCATCAATGGATTATGGATGATTCAGAAAAAATATCACATAAATACAACAATGTCAGGTTCAGGTATAGCCTTGCATTAGTCTGAGGAGAATCACTCTAGAGCAGGGATCCTAAAACTGAAGTTGTAGAATTTCCAACCTTTACTTATCCATTATTTTAGAAAAAAAAATTTGCATGAAAGGGTAGATCTTCTCAGACAATTTTAAAATTCATTTTAACTTGAGATTCAGTTTGTTTTTGGAATTATGATTTTACTGTGGAAACATAAATTATTCAAAAGGATATGCTAGAAAACATGTGTGTGTAAAGAAAATACAAATTCATTTTAGGATCATCTATCATTGTAAAGGTTTTCATGACTAATTCATTTATTGCTATGAATAAATTAGAGAATACCTCATCTGTAATTCAGAATAATGCTTTATATACTTAACATATACAACTTATGAAATGCAGGGCTCTTTTTTTCTTAGGATATTAGCATTTCTTTTTCCTTATTTTTCATCATTATGAAAATATATTTTACACTAGATTTCCACAATTTCAATGTAGTAGATAACTTAATCAATTATTTGGAAAAAATACACTGACTTCAGGTTTTCAATGATAAAGTAATATCCAGGCCAATAAAAACCTGAAAATATAGTCACATATTTTCCTAAATCACTGCTTCATAATAGTTATTTCCAGGACTATGTAGACACACTGTTTGAGGATAATTCTCTATAGCATTCTACATATCTCCTTTTGTTCTATACTATCTTTTCAAACAGCCTTGGAAGATAAAGGTAGAGTCTCCTTCCAGGGCAGATGGAAGATTGTTTCCTGACCAGGATAATAAAGAAATGTCTCTCTTTGGGCAAAGGTTGGACATATTTGCTAGCAGCACCCTTATAAGATAGGGAGTTCTTCCTAAGCTTGAGTTGGTTAATTTAGGTGTAACACAATTTCACTGTATGTGGAGCACCTTCCTAGGCTGGTAGGTCTCATGCCCTCTGGGACTTGAGGGGCGAACAGAAAGCTCCTGCTGCAGGCTGTGCTGTGTGAGTAATGAAGTCCTTTGTCTCTGACCCAGTAGTCTCATGTTTTCCGCCAGCATCTGCGAAACTATGACAGGCTAACTTGTCTAGAAGGAGAGAAAAAATCTCAGATGCTTTATAGTTCTGGACAGAAAGGAAGGATAATATGTAATATAATGGTGAAGAAATAAATGGCTTTTCTAGGGTTGTCAGAATGTGTTGTTTCTAGCAGCAAACCTAACAAAAGACAGCTGCGCTATGTATAACAAAATTATTATTTCAGACACATTTTAGAAAGTGTTTCACAAAAAAAACCTTTCCTGATAGCTTTTTTATAGATAGTATTTTTACCTCCTTTGATTTTCTAAACTGTTTTTCTTACTTTCTCTACCTACAGCTACAATGATTTGTGTATTTAAATTTACCTCTCTTACTAGACTCTAAGTTACAGAGGGCAAGGCAGTGACTTACTTCTGTACCCCTCCCAATGCCTACCTGGCATGATGAATTCAATGCAGTCACTGCTTATTCAATGTCAATTGATTAACTTCTATTAATCAACATATCCTTATCACATTTTTTAAAAAGTCTAACTAGAATAGATTACAGTAAATTTGAGAAATAAGATTCGTTGACACGAAAATGCTGTAATTGGTGTCAAATAAATAAGAAAAGTAGTTCCCAGTTTAATCAGCAAGAAAATGCTATAGGATTGTAACAATACTCTACGCTGTGAAACACTGCTAAAATTTCTAAGGGCAGACAAAAGTATCTTAACCAAATAACTTTGGGTAGATGACAGCTAGAGAGATAGAAGATTAAACTAGGAACACTCGCCACCATGAGGTCCAAAACATTTTAGAACTCTCCAAAAGAACAATGTAATTATAGATTTACTTGTTTTGTTTTTGTTATTGTACTAGTTTGTTTAAATTTTTATTTATTGATTGATTTTAGAGAGATAGAGAACAGAGAAAAACATTGATTTACTCATTTATTGGTATATTCTGGTATGTGTTCTGACCAAGGATTGAACCAGCCACCTTGGCATATCAGGACAATACTATAACCAACTTAGCTAGCTGGCCAGGGATAGTGTGGTTTGTTTAAAACAAAATTTAACAAGCTCAGGATTGCATTAAAATATTTACTCAGGTGAGAAAAAACTGAGAGAAAGACTTCATTGGAAATGGAAAGTTATTTTAAAGGCATTATGTACAAATGTTAGTAAGGAAATATAGTAAGGAAAATGATTTTCTTTAGTTTTTTTGGCAGTCAAGATATCTTTTGGTTCTACTCCAGTGTTTAGCATCAATGCAACCCATAAAATTAACATATTTGTTCTGCACAAAACATTTTTAAAGGCAATTAAGCAACAGGGTATAATTATATTTCCAATACTTTGCACCCAAAAGGTGCAAAAAGCAAAAGGCTAAATACACAACATTTCATTACAATATTCCTCCAAAATAATTTAATTGTTTCAATGAATATTAAAAGGCCATTTCCTATTCTTGCATATATCTAAGGAGAAAGATAAATTAAAATAAAAATTAAATTACAAAGCAATTTTTCTGGACTCTATGGAGTCTCATAATTATACCAGGATGAACAATTTAACAACTTTTTCTCATGTGTAGTTATGACATACAGAAATTTAGTAGAGCAAGAACAAACAAATAAAAAAGAAATAATTTTTCTGTCAAAAAAAAAAGATTTCTTTTTACATTTAAAATAATAAAATCAGGCTGGATGGGGCAGTAGAGGGACTGAGCAAATAAAATAAAATAATCATTCAGTTATAAGTTTCTTTTCATGAAATCCATTTTAAGTAACTAAGACATTATTATAATTTCATTTAGTATTATCTTCCTAATTCTATTATTCTAATTAAAATGTGTGTTTATATTTTAGTTTTTCTTTCTACATTTTACATATGAGTTTACAGTACCATTGTCCATCAATGTATATATTAATTTTGTCCTATAAGTACCATTAAAATTGAGAGAATAGATTTTATTTTTTACAGTAAGTCTATATAAGGGTTTGTTCTGTAAAGGAGAGAGCACCTGAATAGGTTAGACTTTGCTGCTATGCTGAGTTCAAAATGTGTCAGACAGTTTTCATCATCTGCCCCAGAGTTTTGCTTGCAAAGAATGTATTTTAAATATAACGCATTAAGAATCCTAGTGGTTTATAAGTGGTAGTCTTTAATTTGACACATATTATCTTTTTGGTGTTTATGCTTTTATACTTAATATAATGACTGTCATTATTCAAGTAGTTTATATGCCAGAATTATAATTTGGGGGGTTATAAACACTATTTGTACTTGAAATGCTTATACTCTAAAGCATTTTAATTAAAATAATATTACTACTATACAAATATTATTGGCCCGCCACATGCCCTTTTTAATGGATGAAATTTACTCAACTGCTATCATTAATATGAAATACCACCTGCTATTTATATACAAGTTACAGTTTAATGCCTTTCTCCCACTCAAAAAAAATTAAATTATAAAATATGATATTTTTACCATTAATGCAAAAGTTCAATAATGAGAAAGTATAAATATTATTATAAACATGTGTTTAACAGAGCTCTATCTACAGATATCTAAATTAAGCAGTGTAATTTTAGGTTAAAATAATAGGTAAGAGTAACTGTAGGGAAAAAGCTAAAATTTACAAACAGAAAAAGGTGGGTGAAAATTTGTTTTAATTAGTTCATTACTAAATATGGAATATTCTAAAAAGTTCCATAAAATACAGCTCAAATAAACAAACATTCACTTGTACTTTCTCTGTGGAATAAAAAAATTATAGACCTCAAAGTAGATAATAATTTTGATTTGCTTTTAGAAACTCAGTAATTTTCAAGGGTGCACAGGTTACAAGGGGCCATATGGACAGAACACGGACAAGCTAATCTCTTTCCTGTGGTTGAATACTGTTGAGTTAGTCCAAAAGTCCATTATGTTTTTTTTCTGTACAATGGCTCTAGTAGTGCTTAGTTGTCTTTAACTTCATTTGAAACAATTTTGTTAGATAGTACTGTGACATCTGTCATATCAGTGTATGTGTAAAGAAAACGTACCAAAATTAACGAATTTTTTTGTGCACCCATTTTAAAATTGAGGATGGAAGAAAATATGCAACATTTTCAGCATGTAATGCTTTATTATTTTAAGGAAGGTAAAAATGCAACTGAAATGCAAACAAGAAAAGATTTTTATGGGGTATGAAGAAGGTTCTGTGACTGATTGAACATAGCAGAAATATTTTGTGAAGTTTCTTGGTACTACTGATATTTTGGCCAAATAATTCTTTGCTCTGGGGTTGTCTTTTATGCACTGGAAGATATTTAGCAGCCCTTCTGGCCTCTACCCATTAGAAGCCAATAGTGAGAAAGAGCTGACATAGTCAAAATATCCAAATTAATAAAGTTATTGGTGCAAGTGAAAAATGTGTCTTTTATTTTATGGAAAAAAGTATAAGACTTTTTGGCCAACCCAACAGAACATCCTTGGGCTCTCAACCTTTGTCATAAGCAAACAAGGGAAATACAGTTTCTTCTACTAGTCAGTAATTTTGTCCACCAGTATCACCAACATCTATGGCTCCACTAGTTTCTTAATGATTTTACTGAGGTAAACTATAGTCATGTAAAGCGAAAACGAACCAAATGGAAAGAAACACCTCATAACAAACGCCAATTTGGGAGGCATGAAGTTGACACCAAAGCACTAACCTGGTTCTCAATAACGTGACGTAGTGGGAAGGGCATAGTCTGCTGAGAGATACGGACCTGCGTTACCTGGCTTCCTGGCTCTGTGCTCTTCCTTTCTTTTATACAACGTGCTGTTACTACACTGATCACACTAAGCTACAATTCTAATTATGTTATGCCCATATTCAGAATCTCCTGATGGTTCCTGCATTGCCTAGAAGATTAGTTTTAACGACACAGCAGTCATTATTCTTCAGGATTTGTTCACAGCCACATTTCCATCTTTAGCTCTCACTCATACCCTGTTCCTGTCCACATGCCCTCACTTTACCTACTTACCTCAGCTGAGGATGTTAGTCATCATTTCAAATGGCCCCAAAGTGCCTGTCCTTCTCCCCCCCCCTCCTCACTCTATTCTCACTACTAATATGTCTGAATAAGAATCCAACTTAAATTACATCTCCTCCAGGAAACTGCAACTCCTGGCTTTTTGCACTTTCTTAACATTTTATTTGGACCTTGAGTTACATGCTATCTAAGAAATATATATGTATATTTGACATATATATGTACATGACATTTAGGTGTATGTGGCATTTATATATCTTTTCTCCATTACATTATAAATATTTTATAGCTTATTTTATAGTCTCAAAGCTTAAGCCTCAGGACCCCTTACTGGCACCTTCTCTTTCATGACTCTGGGAGGGACCTTAGCAACTTTGAAATTTATAAGTTTGGATTAATTATATTTCCTGAAGAGGTCAACCAAATCATATACACTTCAGGCCTCACAAAATGAGGATTTACCCTTGAGTGCAAGCAAGTGATTCAGTTTCATCATCTGAGTGGCCATATCCTTGCTGGATGGTACCCTGGAGCTTCAATGGCCATGCTAGTTTATTTAGTGCCCTAAGATGCAGTTCATAAAACCTCGTCATTCTTCAGGTCTCATACCTTTATATAGTTTTCACAGGTCATTTCCTCCATAAAAGCCAGTCTTTCCAGCATGAAAGGCCTGAAGGTACAATTAGGCCAAAACAATAAAGGAGAATAAGTAGGCGATTCAATTTCCTCCACTCTAAAGGGGAATCACATTAGAGTGGAAAGCTGCTATCTCTTGGTTTTCATTCCACACAGGAAAAAACAGCTCAGGAAAATTATTAGGAGGTTTTGTGCACATACACTCCTCTTGAGAGGTTGTAATACAGGCGGATCCAGATACCCACTCTGTGAGAGTTACGTGAGCCTGATCCAAGGACAACTATTGAAGAAGTACTTCCTTCCTTAATGCAGATTCTTAATCTTCTGGGTGTCAGATCCCTTGAGGGATCTTTCAATATTCACATATTTTTCATTTTAACATGAGGACTGTGTTAGTTTGCTAGGCCAGTCATAACATCACCACAGGCTGGGCAGCTTAAACAACAGAAATGTATTTTGTTTTTAAGGTTGGAAGTCCAAGATCAAGGTGTTGTTTTTTTTCTGAAGGCTCTTTCCTTAACTTGCAAATGGCTGCTTTCTGTGAGCTCAAATGGTATTTCCTTTGTGGCTGTACATCCCTGGTGCCATTTTGTGTGGCCAGAATTTCCTCTCTTAACAAGGACACCTGTCGGCTTGGTTTAGGGCCCCCACACTAACAGGCTCATTTGAACTTAATCACATCCCTAAAGGCTCCATCTCCAAATACAGTCACATTCTGTGATACTGGGGGTTAGAGCTTACACATAGGAATTTGAGGAGACACAATTCAATCTATAACAAAGATTATTCTATGGCCCTCATATTTATGATACTTAGCTTAGAAATTCCTTCACAGAAAATCAGAATGCGTACATGGTCTGAGAGAAAAAGAAGAAAGTGATATGGTGAACACTACAGTTACTGGGACCAAGACCATTCAAGGAAGGAGAGGAATGAGCACTAAATCTGACTGAAAGGAGAAGGTCACTGTGTATATACGTAGCATGTATGAGCTACTTCCACAATGCAGAATCCTAATCTTCTGCATCAAATCCCTTAATATATATCCTCTGGCTGTGTTTACACACACACAGAACAGGTCCTCAAATTACACCATTTTGTTATAATGTTGATGAGATGCCATAGGAATTTAACTCTTATTTACAACAATTAGCCTATAGTAAAACAGGTTTCATTGGATGTCCTTTCTCCACAGTCCCCCAAACCTGATGGCATTAAGTCTGGAGAGACAGAGCAAAAGATCAAACCCCTCTTTTGAGAACTACAGAAAAAAATACCATTAAATAGAGAAGATAGGAGTTAGAAAGACAGAAAATATGGGTTCTACTCCATCTTGTGACTGCAAAAACAAAAGTAGAAAGACACAGTCCAAAAAGGATAAACAAAAGTTAAATAGATTTCCTAATGAAATAAATACCAGCAACATTTTGTAAGTTCGTCAAGTGGACAAGTGCTGACTGGCATTGTACATACACTAAAAAGCTAAAATCTAAATGCCTGGATGGTGAAGGGAGCCAATAAGCATGTAATTCATATTTTGAAGGAAATTCCAAAACTTCTCAGAAATTGGCAGCTAGAGTGCCTATGAGAATAAGAAGAAATGGTTCAAAAATCTGTATGATAAACAGTAAGGTTAGACAAATGAGAATACAAAAACCTGACTATGTTGTATACCTGAAACCAATACAAAATAATATTAACTGTAAACTATAACTCAAAATATGTAAAAAAAAAAAGTAAAAAAATTTGACTTACAAAAGTCCTAGAAAGAGAGTCAAGAAGAAACAGAAAAGTAGAAAAATCAAAGTAATAATGAATGCTTTCCAGAGCTGAAGGCCATGGGGCCCCCCCAGAATAGGTTCATTTTCATCCCAGCACAGTGGATGAAGAAGATCAAATCTAAGAGAAATTTCAAAATCAGAAGCTCCTGGGGTCAGCATTAGAGGGAGAGGGTGGCAGAAAACAGGTCATACAAAATTCTAAAATGAGACTTCTCAGCTGTCGTACCAAAAATTTAAATGCGGTGAAGGCAACAGTGACATAATTCTGGAGAAAATTATTTTATCCTAGAATTTTATGTCTAACAATTATGTATAAAGTTTGAATAATATTGTTTTAGAACATACAAAACTCAAAATTTTACTTTGGATCTTTCTTCAAGAAGGTAGTAGAAGGTGTGCTCAGTGAAATGTCAGAATAAACCGCCCAAAAGAAGACATGGGTTACATACAAGTTGGAAATTGAGGGGGTGCTCAAGGATGATGATGAAGTTCAAGTCCAGGTTGAAAAGAAAATCAGGAAGGATGGAAAGCTGATTTTTTTACCATATTGACAGGAGTATTAAAAATCTGGTAGAGAGTTTAGTAAAAAACTCTTGAAAGTAAAATAAAAGTCTAAGCAAATAAAAAGGAGGTAATATTTAATCCTAGGAAAAATAAGAAAACTGCAAAAAGAAAAAAGAAAAAGAAAGAAGTGTGACCTATTTTCCCAGTTATAATAATGTAAATAATTGTGACTTAACTAAAAATGGTGGCACAGCTATACAGAGACAGGGGCCGATGGGAGGTTGGTGGAGAAGTGGTTCGTAGTAATAGAGCCGAGCCAGAGGTAGTGCAAGAAAGGAAACCTCATCTTCCTTAAGAGGAAATCAACAAAGAATGTCTAAAATCAATGGTATCAGGAAAATACAGTGCACAAATTTCATTTACCCTCCATCACATCTCTCCCTCTCCCTTCCCTTCCCCTCTTTAAATTAAAAAAAAGAAATACGTGGGTAAGTACCAGGAGAAATAGCAAATGAATTCTAAATGATTTCCTCTACTGATTAGGAACTGGAAGGGATGAAGGAATGATGCTTTTCATGATAAATTGTTTTTAAATGACTTAAAAAAATGTGGACATCAGTCATTTTGACAAACATAAAAATAAATAAGGAAATTACAAAGGAAATGCATTGCATAATGTATACATTTGTGCCAAAAAATACTATGGTCTAAATATTTCTACATTTTTAGGTAAGGTTGATATGGGCCTGAAAAAAAACTTACCTAATTTTAACTCTGCATAAGCATAGGCTATATGAACTATTTTTCTTATCATCTTAGAATCTTCTCTAAAAAAAATTGGGCCCTTATCTATTTTAATATTATGCTTTAATCTACCTGGTTTAAGGACCATCTGCCTGAATTAATGATATTAACCAACAGAAGAAGTACATGAGTTAGTTATACTGAGATCACATAACCATATTTCTTCAGGCTGGGATTTGGGGCATACTAGAGTCTACAGGGACTAGTGGTAAATCAGCACATTCCAAGTCCAAGTCTCGGGGCAATGAAATGGTGACAAGGGACATCATGCAAGACGAATGTCAAATGTACCTATTGGAGGTTGCCTGCGTATACAGAGATCATGCTTGAAAGTTTAATGTTACATATTCTCGATTTATAAACTTTTCTCAAGAGGACTTCATTTTAATGAATATTTTTTCAATAAAAGCATCACTCAGGTAATAATAAAAAAATAATCCAAATAACGCCCATGCAAGAAGGTATCTCCCTCAGCCTTTTCTTTCCCTTTCCAAATACTGTTTGATGTTTTCATACCTCTCTGTAGCCATCGTTGATCTGTTCCAAGCTGAGGGAATACACAAGGTCCTTGCCTCCCACGAAGAGTCTCTCTTGATATTCATCCAGCAGCATTGTATGGAGATCGAGAAATCCAAAAGGGCTATGGAAGATGGATGTTCTGTTTAATTCCAAGAGCTCTGAAATACAAAAGGAAATGAATGCTAAACAGAAGAGAAAGAAAAATAACTTTATAATACTTGCCTCATGGCTCTGTTTTTATAACTATTGAAAGTGTGTTGTTAACATTCAGTTTTATCAGAAGTATGAAGTCTTTTAAATTTATTACTTAAAAGATTAAAAATACACAGTGCCTTAACAATACTGTATTGCACACTTGAAAGTTGCTAAGAGAAAAGACTTTAAAAGTTCTCATCACAAGGAAAATATTCTTTGTGAGGTGATGGATAGAAAACTAAACTTTGTGTGGCAGTCCTCTCATAACATATACATTTAACAATGTTATATGTCAACTATATCTCAAAACTGGAAAAAATTTTAAATATTTGTGCATTATGTAAAAAAAAGGATAATCTGTTATCAGTGGGAGTTGAGTTCTTGTGGCGTCACAAGGCAAAGACCTGCACAGGACGGTGGGGCTCTGTGGTAAACTTTATTGATATTTCAAAATTAAGGGGGTTCCCCTCTGTACTTCCCAATGTCCCATCTCCATTTGTCCCGTCATGGAAAAAGCCCATCTATGTCCTCAGCAAGGCAAAGACAAAAGCCAATATCCAGAGTTTCTCTTCCATATTAAAGTCCAGTCCAGTCAGTGTCTGGCTAGCCTAGCCCGTGTTTCCAGCTGCAGTCCATTGCTGTTCTGTAGTATTCGAGCTCCTTCCTGGAGCCTGTGTGTGTGGAGTCCACATGGCCATGGCCACGTGGCTGCTAAGGCCACATGGCTATGGAGAGAGGACACGAGAGTACACAGTATGACTGCAGGTCACGTTTTATTTGTGAAATGTACACATTTCATTTTCTTCTTTTATTTATTTGATTATTTAATTTGCCCATTCCCACAAAACATCTGTAATGACTTATACAAATATACTCAATTGAACAAACATATTGCTAGGTTTATGAATATGAGGGGGGAAATAAGATGAGAAGGTTGGAATAAATTCTATTAACTGAAAGTCATTCTTCAATATCATAGACATTGTTAAAATGAATACCAAAATTGAACCCAGGGCTTCCTATAATTCAAAGTCACTATAGTATTAAAAAAAAAAAAACTCTAGCAGTTGCTTAGGAGCACTGCCTGGGGTGATAGCTAATTCTTTGTGTCAACTTGACTAGATCAAGGTTGCCCAGATATTTGACTAAACGTTATTTCTAAGTATATCTGTGGAAGTGCTTCTGGATGATATACGAGCATTTGAAATTGGTGGACTCACTAAAGCAGGTTGCCCTCGCCAATGTGGGTAGGCATCATCCAACGTGTTGAGGGTCTGAGTAGAACAAAATGTGGAGGAAGGAAGAATTCACTCTTTCTTTTCTGCCTGACTGAATTGAACCATCAGCGTGCCTGATTCTTAGGCCTTCAAATTCAGACTGAACTTCAGTACCAGCTTTCCTGGCTCTCTACCTTGTAGACAGCAGATTGTGGGACTTCTCAGCTTTGGTAATTGCAATAATACTAATTCCTCATTATATGTATAAATATCGAATATATATATATAATATTGTATAAATTACTAAAAATAAGTTATCAAGTGTCATGCTTCTGCCTATAATTATATAACAGTATAAACCAACAGAATTCATGTCAAAGTGCAATCTACCATGGACTATATAACTAATATGGCCACCCAAAGTGACTTTATGGCCATGGGTGGCCATATTAGTTAGGACACTAAGATTGCAATGAATGAAGATTAATTAAATCAGAGCAATGTAAATCTAGGCACAGAAAACCAGGAAACCAACAGAAGCACAAAGTAATTTATCTCTTAAGAAGTTGTGCATCCTTGCTCCTTGCTTCTTGCTTTTCTTAATGCGATTGCTGCATTCTACTGATTCTAAAGGATTTATTCACCAGTTTGCTCATGGCCAAATAGGTCTACATAGCCCCCAATTATATGACACTCCATCCTCCACCCCACCACCATATGACAATAGCATTTGAATCTTTCATTTCAAAATTCTCAGAAATGAGAATATAACTGGTTTAGCCACTGTTCATGGATTCATGAATTGCTAGCTTCTAGACCATGCTTTGAGACCAATTATCCATCTGTGGTTAAATGTGGAAGCCATGTGGTAAATAACATGGTCCCTATAATTTTGGGGGGATCAGAGCTGTCACTCTGAAACATGTATCGATCACATAGGTAAACTTACCCAATTTCTCTTAACTCATGAATACATTTATAATGACAACTTCACTACAATCTCTATTTCCAATAGACTGAATTAGTCGACCTACTATTTATAGTTGTTCAATATAATCTGATTAACTTTGAAACTAACAACTGCCAAAAATGAAAATTTGGGTTTCCATTATTAGTTTGATCGTCAACCATTCTTCCTGATATAAGTGAATAGCTAAAGTCACTCACAACTGAAGAATAAACTTTACTTCCTACACAGAAAATACTTCCTTTTCTGTTCTCTTTTGGGATGGAGAGACAATCATCTATCCCATACTTATAAAATGTATAGAAATTATAATATGCTTTAGCTGTAAAAAGCATTAAAAACATAAAAGCAATAATAAAACAGTAAAGTTTAATAAATAAAGTAATTTCAAAGTTTAAAAGCAGAAATATAATTATTGGAAAAATTATAAAAGTATTTATTAATATCAAAGATAGGGTACTAAACTTGCTCTTTCAAAATGTTGGAAAACATATTATAAAGTAAGAAGAAAAACAATCACCTCTGTACTGTAAAAAGACATCATAATAGAAGAGAGACAGAACTAATTTGCATAAAAGGAATTCACTTCTTAAATATATACAAAGAAATGAATGTGAAAAATTATCAAATTTTTTCCAGTGAACATGTATTGCTTTATTAAAAATAAAATGATGTCATCCCCAGTTCTGGTCCCAAGGGAAAAAGGAGTAAAAAAGATCGTTTGACTTACTAAAGCTTATTCCTTATTAACAATGATTCCATAACCTATTATACATACAACTCCCTACATAAGCAACTAAGAAAAATCTAGTAAGGGGTTATGTGTCTGAAATCAAATGTATTTTTGCAGAGCCTAGTATAAATAGCAAGATAAACAGAAGGTTTTGTCAATATTCAATAGTTGGACTTGATATGATTCAAAATAATTCAACAGCAATATTATCAACAGGAAAATTCAAGTTAATATCAACTTCACTTTTTATTACCTTTAATTCCTACATGATAAATGGTCTCAAATAACTACAGAATTTTTCATGTTGCTTTGATTTATCAATTCATGGCATTTTCATACAACTTACTTTTGAGAAAATTAAAATGTTTTTACTCAATATGCCATAGAAGTTCAAAATAGGAAGATCTCTTTAGTATTTTTAGTATTAAAAATACTAAAGCCAAATGAAACTCAAGCAGAAAGCTTTCTTCCTTAATTATTTTTCTTTTTAATTTTTGAGCCAGCACTTTATGTAATACTACTTCTGATCTTTCTTCTAAATTATAGACCATAGACTTGGCATATTTACCAAGCAATGGCTAACTGCTTTATCCCTTTGCACTGCTCCAAGCTGCCTATTTGGAAAGAATTAGAAAACATACAGAAAGAAGGGGACAAAAGAAATGTGAATCTCAGGTAAGCTCCAGAAAACACAGTGCAAAGAATGGACGGTGCTGACCCGTATACAGGAGGGATCTCTCATCTTGAGTCCTTCCTCCTCTAAAAATAACATGCATTACTTGAGGGAGGGAGTGGACAAAGAAACAAAACGAAACTGAGATGCACCAACTCAGAGTTCATCCGGAAATTTTCTCAGGAGGGAACTAATTATTATTGCTAAGCTGCATACTAATTATCAGCTGTCAATGAAGATATACAGAGGATTTAGTCATTTCCTCTCTTGGCCTTTCTTCTTAACCTGCAAGGGAAATAGTTTTAAAACTTATTGACAGCAATATATTACGGAGACAGTTCTCTTCACTTTGTCAAAATATATTTAAATTCCACACCTCCATGTATAAATGGGGTTGGAAAGAGGGCACATTTTTTAGTTTTCAAACAAAAAAGGTTACCAAGGGAAGGGTCTTCTCTTCTTGTATGTACACTTTTTCCACTGTCACCTGCGAAGTGGTGACTTCTTAAGACTCAAGACTTTAGACATCATTTTTTTAAATAAATTATTTTATTCAGTTCATCTCTTCAAGTTAAATAAAAAATAAAATATTGAACTGCACATATAGTAAGCATTGGTGATAACAATGAAATATAGAAACAATCATTAGACATTTTCTTCAATCCCTTGATGGTTCAAAAGGAAAAGATTTATTGCAACATGCTTTAATGATTTTGACAGATCTGATAAATGATCACTAATGGCTTGTAATAATGTTGAGACAGAGTGGTAAAGAAATAAGCAATTAACTTTTTTTAAGTGAAAATGGGATAACTCAATGATTTGCTAATTGGTCTTTCTAGCAATGGACTGTGGCTGGCCTTTCACTCATGCTCTGAACTTTTAGATTCTATCTTTCTTATAAATCAAAGATCCACAACAGGCATTGCCATTGTGGTGTTCCAAGTTTTTATCATAAACTACTTCCAATGAAAGCAGAAAGAGTTCAAATGGACATATGAATAGCCGAGAGATTAAATAGCCTTTTATTTCCTCACTCAAGGAAAACAAAATAATGTCAAAATTTTAAGATTACTCATTTCCTGTTTCTATAAGTTATTATTAGTCAGTATTGTACGCAATATTCTAGCTTATCGGTCTTTGAAGTCCTCTATGAACATGAGGTCACTCTGGGACAAGGTTACACAGAATCATTGATTGTACTGCATGTCTATTGCTGTGCTATATGTGTTTATGTGCATGTATTTAAATTATTGAACTAAAACTCATAGAATATAAAATGCTACTACCTAAAAAGTCACTTTGTTTTTGATTGCCTGTTTAATTGTGACTATATTCTATTTCGTCAGAGGCTAATAAAGGAGCAGGCCTAT